GGAAAGGGGAGGGAGAAAGAAAGGGGAAGAGGGGGGAGGGTTAGGGGAGGGAATGGGGATCCCAGCTGCCAATCCCGGGTAATAACCCCAGGGTTCACCCCCATGCAGGGGTTCCGGGGCCATGGGGCACTGCCCCCCAAGGGATGGGGACAAGGGGCTGGTACCTTTGGGGCCGCTGCTGACAGAACTGCTCCAGCTGTTGCGCCTGATTTCCTCATAGGGGGATTCTGCAGGCAAATGGGGGGAGGGGGAGAGACAGCCCATTAGTAGTGTGTGTGTGGGGAACCCCAGGGTTCACCCCCATGCAGGGGTTCCGGGGCCATGGGGCACTGCCCCCCAAGGGATGGGGACAAGGGGCTGGTACCTTTGGGGCCGCTGCTGACAGAACTGCTCCAGCTGTTGCGCCTGATTTCCTCATAGGGGGATTCTGCAGGCAAATGGGGGGAGGGGGAGAGACAGCCCATTAGTAGTGTGTGTGTGGGGTGAAAGGGGCGCTGAGCTGCGGGGAGCGGGTTGGGGGCCCATCATGGGGCACTGGGTAGCAGGGTGGGGCCCAGCAGGGGGCGCTGAGCTGCGGGGAGCGGGTTGGGGGCCCATCATGGGGCACTGGGTAGCAGGGTGGGGCCCAGCAGGGGGCGCTGAGCTGCGGGGAGCGGGTTGGGGGCCCATCATGGGGCACTGGGTAGCAGGGTGGGGCCCAGCAGGGGGCGCTGAGCTGCGGGGAGCGGGTTGGGGGCCCATCATGGGGCACTGGGTAGCAGGGTGGGGCCCAGCAGGGGGCGCTGAGCTGCGGGGAGCGGGTTGGGGGCCCATCATGGGGCACTGGGTAGCAGGGTGGGGCCCAGCAGGGGGCGCTGAGCTGCGGGGAGCGGGTTGGGGGCCCATCATGGGGCACTGGGTAGCAGGGTGGGGCCCAGCAGGGGGCGCTGAGCTGCGGGGAGCGGGTTGGGGGCCCATCATGGGGCACTGGGTAGCAGGGTGGGGCCCAGCAGGGGGCGCTGAGCTGCGGGGAGCGGGTTGGGGGCCCATCATGGGGCACTGGGTAGCAGGGTGGGGCCCAGCAGGGGGCGCTGAGCTGCGGGGAGCGGGTTGGGGGCCCATCATGGGGCACTGGGTAGCAGGGTGGGGCCCAGCAGGGGGCGCTGAGCTGCGGGGAGCGGGTTGGGGGCCCATCATGGGGCACTGGGTAGCAGGGTGGGGCCCAGCAGGGGGCGCTGAGCTGCGGGGAGCGGGTTGGGGGCCCATCATGGGGCACTGGGTAGCAGGGTGGGGCCCAGCAGGGGGCGCTGAGCTGCGGGGAGCGGGTTGGGGGCCCATCATGGGGCACTGGGTAGCAGGGTGGGGCCCAGCAGGGGGCGCTGAGCTGCGGGGAGCGGGTTGGGGGCCCATCATGGGGCACTGGGTAGCAGGGTGGGGCCCAGCAGGGGGCGCTGAGCTGCGGGGAGCGGGTTGGGGGCCCATCATGGGGCACTGGGTAGCAGGGTGGGGCCCAGCAGGGGGCGCTGAGCTGCGGGGAGCGGGTTGGGGGCCCATCATGGGGCACTGGGTAGCAGGGTGGGGCCCAGCAGGGGGCGCTGAGCTGCGGGGAGCGGGTTGGGGGCCCATCATGGGGCACTGGGTAGCAGGGTGGGGCCCAGCAGGGGGCGCTGAGCTGCGGGGAGCGGGTTGGGGGCCCATCATGGGGCACTGGGTAGCAGGGCGGGGCCCAGCAGGGGGCGCTGAGCTGCGGGGAGCGGGTTGGGGGCCCATCATGGGGCACTGGGGAGCGGGGCGGGGCCCAGCAGGGGGCGCTGAGCTGCGGGGAGCGGGTTGGGGGCCCATCATGGGGCACTGGGGAGCGGGGCGGGGCGAGGCAGGGCCCAGCAGGGGGCGCTGGGCTGTGAGGAGGGGGTTGGGGGCCCATCATGGGGCACTGGGGAGCGGGGCGGGGGCCAGACGG